ATTGAGCCTAGATTTGAGTGCCAAGCTCAGCCAAGTTAAGCCAAAAGTATGATGAAACTGATCATATTTGATATGAATTCCTAGTAATTTTCTTCTTCTTTTGCACAACATATCTATAAATGTGTATACAAATCATTATTTCACCTCCATTAGTCCCAAAAATGTCATCTAAGGCTGCAGATACACACACAAACAATAACAAAGTCCGGAAGACTGGAAAAGAATGGGGAAGATGAAAACCAGTTATAGCGCTGAAATATTCCATGCATTTTCAAAATAATTTGCATTAGGGCACTACGTAATGAGAACATATATTTGATATCTCGTGAAAAACTAGCAACAGAGAAAGCAAAAGTGCCAACAGAGATGGAAGGCCAACATGGGAACTGCAATACAAACATTAGATGTGAAGAAGAGGAGGCAGCAATAATTGATAGATTTATACTGAAGATGCCCATTTATAGATGCACTCAGATACATAGGTAGAAATCAAATTTGACCCATTGCATCAACAATGACAAAATATAAAGTGGTGAAGAGGGCAGCATACGCAAGATTAAGAGACAGTTCCACATAGTATTGATGTTACCTCCCATATGATTGCTGATCGATCACTTGATGATGAAGCTAAGTACTTCCCATTGTGTGAAAATTGCAGAAACCAGACTTCGTCACTGTGTGCTTGTAATATCTGCAAAATTGAAAGTGATAAGAAAGGTTTAGAACCAAGATCTGACTAATATGTATGTAAAACCAGATTCAAAGTGCCCTTTATAAATGTAAGAATGGGTAATCTAGACAAGGTAAATAACATACATACAACAAACACATAATAAAAGAGTAACCAGAGAGAGAGAGATTAGACAATCTTCATTGACATAACAAATTAACAAAACACAGAAAAGATAACAAGTGGATTCAAATTACGAGAGATGGCACTAACGTAGACAGCAAAAAGAAAGTGAAGTCAACAACGATGGAATCAGATATAGATTAAGCTCCGCTAGACCTTGGTCAGTATCTCCCTCCACACATTAATTCAGACAAGAGCACACTGAACAAGGATGCTTGGAAATGGCAATATACCATTCTCAATGCTGATAATAACAGCAAATATTTAAAGACAGGAAGTAGCAAAGAAACCAGGACCCTTGATATTTAAAGTGTTATCAGTAACGAAACGACAATACAATGCCACAAAGACTTGAATTTCATGTTCTATCAAAGTTTAGAGGCTTATGAATTGTAAGCTGAGCCACACTGGTTACTCTTTGCCTGATGAGAACATATTATCTAACACTAGTTTTTCCAAAGAATGCTATCAAGTTCCACATGTCCAATCTGGTCAATTAATTGTACTGCTTTGCCTCCCCCATACAAATCCTACACTTAGATGAACAACTACTTACCCTAGTATTATTTTTTGAATTTGAAACTCTCCACAGACATGTGGAGGGTTATGAACAGCAGCCTTCTTGAATCACTTGCTCACTTTAATTAATTTCTGATAAACTCCTTGGTTTGTTTTTCAGGTCAAACTAATTAGAAGGACTAAAAGAACAAGACTGGGAAAAACCATCTTAACTTACCTAACAGAAAGGCCAGTCTCTTCTCACGGGGTCCATAAAACCCCTGATAACCAAGATTGAGTACTATAATCTTAGCTTACCCTAAAGTGACACATTCACTGTTATTACTCAACTTCACAGTTTAAGATGCGATACCTCATATGACAACAAATAATGAACATGATTTTCATACATCATATGAAAAATGACCAAATAAGTAAAATCAATAAGTATACAAAGCTCTAATTAGAGCTTACAACCATTAATCAAATTTTTTTTTTCCAACCTGTAATGTTCGGGAAGGAATCTGATCTCTCCCACATCGATGATCAGTGTACAAAGACATTTCCTCGTTCAAGGAGTTGTGAAAAATGCAAGCATCACGTTGTAGGACTAGGGCCTGTTCAACCAAATGTTCCAACCGTCTTTCAAGTATCATAACTGTTGGGGGAAGCAGTTTCTGCAAGTCTTCCAGTAACTTTGGCCGAGACTTGGCCCTCGCAATGTTTTTACCAGGAGTCCCACCAAATGAAGGCGAAACTATGCAGGAAGAAAGCTCATGAACTCTACTACCATTGATGCAGAGAGGTACAATCTCAGTCCTCAATGTCTTCAGTGCATCCATGTCTTTTTCGTCATCTAGAAGTTCAAAGAACTTCTGCTCCAATATCATAAAGGAGGCTGATTTAGTAATGTTTTCATCTGATAGACCAATTTTTTTCAATGTGTCGACACTTCCATCCCAATTTCCATCCAGAATTTGCTGCATAAAAAGAGTTACCACAGAAGAGTGCAACGGTATCCCAGACTCTTCTTCCAAATGAGCACCACTTTTCTTATAGCCAAGAGAATATAGTGCCTTTGCTATTAGTCGGACAAATTCCACCCTCTTAATAACTCCTTTTGAACCAACAACCTCTTCGTCCCCTTCAGATGTTAGGGGCCGAGCCATCAAGTCTCTTGAAGAGCCAGCTACAGGCTCTGTAATAGATGAACCGTTGGATAGACCTCTCAATTGTCCAGGGGATAATTTCATGCGTTTTGTGGCTGGTTCTTCATCTCCCACACCTCCCATGAAATGTGCACCTCAGCCCATATATTATTACAGCGGTAGAAAAACAAGAAGCAGATATTTTCAAAGTTCTAAGAGCCTCCAGTTAGTCACAAGAAACAAACACCTGCATAATACAGTAAAAAAGGTAATGAATGTCTTAAAGCTTGACTCCATCAATCACATCATCAAAATCTCTAAATAGAGTACACAAAAGTAAGAACCCAATCATACAAAACCTACCAAGATATTCTAGTGAAACGAAGATGCGGTGGGAAAGTAAGATTATAATTAAACTGAAGCTGAATTCTAAAAGTAATTTAAGGTTACACTTTCAGCATTTCCCAACTGAATCAAGATTGGAGGAGGAGGATCAGCAATAATTCCAGTTTAGACAACGGATTATGATTATCCAAAACATTTTCACAAAAGGAACCAATCTTTCAAATTGCTCGAGCAAAGGCCCTGAATGAAACTTCATACAAGATGAAGTTAATAAGATGAAAATGCCTTCTACATATAGCATTAAAAATCTCTTTACAAAATTGATTGTAACCAGAAGCCGTATAATAATTTTTTTTTTGTGACCGAAAAATTGCAATTTCTGCAAGTCCATTCAATGACTTCAAGGTTGAGAAACTCCATCATTAAACAAAAGTGTTAAAGATAAATGGCAAAGGAGTCAATAATTGACTGATCCACAATGTACATCCATCACCAAATTATTTATACCATGAATCATGAAGAGCTTAAAAGAAACACACTAAACTGATGATATACCATTTAAGCAAACAGAATTAGTCTTATTTCAGTCCATAAGATGCTCAAGAAATGCTAACATTTACCAAGAGGGGAAGACAACGATTTCAACACCTAAAAACAAATCCCTGGTGATAATAGATCAAAACCCAAATCAGGAACAATCAAAAGTAGAAGAATCCCACTATAGTAAGCAATCAAAACAAACCAAAACATGAAATCTGACCTCGAAAAATAACAATGAGAAAACATGTGAACAGATAAAAACCATATTGAACACCAAAACAAATACCCAAACAAGAACGTTCAGCAAGAAATGAGAACCAACCAAGAGGATAGAAGCCGTCACAAGATTTGCCCAAATTTAGAGGTAATTAACAAGCAAAATCCAGGGTACCCAGAAACCGATTTCGCTTTGGGAACCGATTCCGATCAAAAGAAAATGAACCCAACACAGGAACAGGTTGAGAATTCAACAATCAATGATGGGTATGAGGAAGAATAGAGACCAAAGCATCCAAAACAAGGACTTGCTTTTTTCTCATTTGTCGGCACATTAAAAGTAATATAGGTGAGCAAGCAGCAGATTAAGGTGATAGATAATATGAGAAAATTTCGTGAAATCCAAAAAAGAGGAAGGAAAAAAAAAAGAAATAGCAGATTGCAAATTACAATCAATGCCCAATGGGTTATTGTATATTGGGTAGAGGCTATGTATTTTCAAGGAATGAATAAAGTATCAGGTACCTTTGTCGTATAACACACTGAGTTTCTCTTTTGCGTGGAGGAAACCAACTCAATGGGGGTTATATAGAGGAGAGAGAGATTGAGAAAGAGAGAGAGAGAGAGGGTCAGAGAGATGAGTCTTGTAAGTTCTCCTCTCTCTACTTGTACTGGCTAGGGGCTGGGGCTTCACAGGCTTTTGCCTACTACAACATTTGCTGGCTTGGTTGGCTGTTCACATTTGGGCCAATGTTGGCTCACTTCCTGTAAGTTGGGCTGGGCTTAGTTTAATATCTACACCTATTTTTTCTTTTCTTCATGAGCAAATATCTAACCCATGTAGATATGTAACTTTTATTTATTTATTTATATAAGCGACAGTGGTGGGGGAGGGTTTTTTTTTCTTTTTGTTTTTTGGTTCTGATTTTGGAGGGATGGAACAACCGTCAAGTTGTCATAGAGGTTCGAATATGAGACTACTTATCTGCAAGTCAAGACATTTTTCTACTAAACTAGACCCGTTAGCATGTAGATATATAATATATAAACTAGGATTTTCATCATATATATATTTTTAATTATTTTCTTTTATTTGAATCTTTGTGAATTCCATTGAGATCACATTTTTAATAGAAGTGGAACATGCTTAATAAGGAGTTTTATCTCCAATGAAATGTCATTTGAAATACTATAGACATCAACTGATGAGATAGTGTTTTACTTGTTTTTATTCTGAGAATATTGTAGACTTTATTTATTGAGAAATTGTATTTCTCTTAATTTTGTTAAAATATGGCCAAATTCAAATCATACTTGCTAATTATTATTTATTTATAAATAAAAAAAAATTAAAGAAAATAACAAATTGGAAAGTGTAAACATGATGGAGGGTTAACTTAGCGGCGCGGGCACCGCTCTACATATGCAAAGCATAAAAAAGCATATGCGGAGGAAGGGCAAAGGGCAAAGGGCAAAGGGCAAAGGGTAATTTACGAAACACATAGCAGAACTGAAAACTCCATTTTCATAGCAGACGCCAACTATTCAGGGCAGAGGAGAGCCAGACCCAAATCTTCGACAACTCCACTGAATCTCGTCTTCTTCTTCTTCTTCTTCTTCAAAGCTTTACATTCTTCTGGGCGCGAACAGCTGCCTCAGATTCGGAATTTAACGAACAGACAAAAGGGAAGAGATCAGAGCCAAAGGAAGAAGCAATAGACATGGCGAAGAAGAACAGAGGCGGCGAACAACAAAACAGTAAAGTTACAGAAAGCATGAGGAACCGAATAGCTCAATTACTCACCCGCTTCAAATCCGCCGATGACGAAGGTGAAGTGTTTGAATAAAGCCATGGCTTAAAACTGGGTGCTAATGAAATTTTCATACTTTAATGCGATCTGAATCCATGTTTGCTTCCTTTTTATTTTGTCGGGAGGAGGGTTTCAGGGACTTGCTTGGTATTTGATGCGAATTTATAAGGACCAAGTATTTGATTTTGTTTAATTTTTCAAATTGTATGAATGGTTTTTTGAACAATATCGGAATCTGCCTGCAGTTTACACATTTGAGGCCGGTCTCTCGAACCTTGACCGTGCTGAAGTGCATCAACAATGCAGGAAAATGGGTATGAAATCCAAGAGTAAAGGGTGAGTGCTGGTAGTTATGTCTTGTTGATAGTGACCAAAATGTTGTATATTTTAATTTAAGAGAAGCTTACATGCTTCCATATTTTTGGGAACCAAAACAAAAGAGGAAAATTTCAGCTTTCTTATCTGCACAGTTTTTTTTTCTTCAACTGATGATAAACCTGAACTCTGTGTAGGAGTGGGAAAAAACGTGTTGTGTCTGTTTATAAACCTAAAAAGAAGGCCGCAGCCAGTGATGTTATTCCAAAGCTCACTCATCTGACATTTTCCGGAGTCACAAAAGAAGTATTGAGGGACTTGTTCATGCGTTACCCACCCGGTGATGAAGTGGGCAGAGAAATGTATGGGACAAATAGTAATGAGAATGTGAAAGCCAAGCGGAAGAAAGACAGTATGTTTTGCAAGCCTTCGATGACCAAGGCAGAAATTGCAAAGAAAGTGGAATCACTTGCTTCTAGAATAAAGAATTCCGATAAATTGAGAAAGGTTCTTCTGATTTAACAGATGATGCACCTCTATTATCATCTACATTATTTTAAGTCATAGTTTTTGCATAATAATAGTCTCAGCATGACAGGTTTCTGTGAATTTATGCATGCAGATCACCGAAGAGAAGTCTAAGCTTCCAATTACATCCTACAGGGATGTCATTACATCAGCAGTTGAATCTCATCAGGTTAATTTGAACATTCACATCATTGATTCTTGAAATTATTAGCTAGTTGTTCTTGCGGCAGATCACATTATGCGTGATATTATTTTTGAAATTTCCTAGTATCAGTTAGATATGCGATGTGTCCTTATCTCAAAATGGTGGGGTCTGTTATCGTTACTAGAAACTCTGTTTTGCTACTTCATTGAACCGTTGTTTGAATTGAATGGATTCCTACTCAACTTCGGGGACTTATTGTTAATCTCCTATTTGAAAGCAGGTAATTCTTATATCTGGTGAGACTGGGTGCGGAAAGACCACACAGGTTATGATTTCTTTGCTCTGTCTTCTTTATGGTATATTTATAATAAGTTGTCTGGTTCTGTTTCAAAAGAAGTCCATTTAATTTATTTTGTTCTTTATATTGCAACATCTTTTTTTCCTTTCCTTGGTCTCGAAAGTGACGTAAGTTGCATGGATATCATTTTCTATACTGTTAACATATTCTGGTTGATTTTACCTTTTAAAACCTGCCCGCATAGGAAATTTGGTACCTTTACTTGCAAACTTCTATACGGAGCCCTGTACATGTCACTTTTTGGATTTTTAAAAATGACAAAAGAGGGGAGAGCATGGAGTATCAAGACTTGAACTGATCTTGCATATTTGTGGACATGCATGTTCAAGAGTGCAATTATCATTGTTATAATTGGGAGTTATGAATCTTGATCAGTTTTTGATACTCATGAGATTATTTGTTTTTTATGATAATCTTCATTAGTCAGCTTGTGTTCATCAGTCATTTCAGGATGTATATGACATGCTTTTAACATTTCTTGATGTTTTCTTTGTACTGTGGAGTAGTTTTTCCTGCTTAATATAGCATAGCATTAATCTTTTAAAACTAAACTTAATATTATTACTTTCTGTAACTATGTTTGATAATGTTCTCTTTTTGAAAAATATGATTCAGGTCCCACAGTTTATTTTGGACCATATGTGGGGTAAGGGGGAGGCATGTAAAATAGTGTGCACGCAACCTCGACGTATCTCAGCTGCATCAGGTTTACACTCTTCTTTCTGCATACAAAACTTTTAGGCCCCCTTTTTTTATTTGATTTTTTCTTTACTGATTGTAAACTTCAAATTATTAAATCCTTGGTGTTTTTGTGTCCAGTTGCTGAGAGAATCTCTAAGGAAAGAGGAGGAAATGTTGGAGAGGATATTGGATACAAGGTAATGTTGCTCATGAGTTGTCTTGATGTATAGTTTGTATTTTATCATATCAATGACCATTCTGTCATACACTGTTGTTAGAAGCAGCGTCATAGTTAACTTCTTTGTATTTAATTTAGGTCTATGTACCAGACATGACTGTCATTAGGGGCGAAGAAGCTCCTGTTTTGCAATTCAATAATTAGTAGTCTGGGAAATTTGAACTAATCAATCTTTGTAACCGGAAAAAAGACAGAATATTGTTCATTTTACAACTCATGTGCAGGAATTGTTGTGGTCATTTTTGTTGGATGCTTTTAGTTGGTCAAATTTTCAATATGAAATATGGTATATTGGTCACAGCTAAGTTGGTTACATCATTTTCAGTTATACCATAAGTATATTCTCAGGGTTTGCTAGATCAAACCAGGAAAGTTAATTTGCTTGTGATTATACATTTACAGAAGGCGTGCGTAGTCTCTATAGGATTCCAAGTCCTATGTATCTTGTCAATATTATTGTAACTTGTGAGAAACTAACTTATATATTCTTTTGGCGATGCTAGATACGGTTGGAAAGTCAAGGTGGCAGGCACTCATCAATTGTGCTCTGCACAAATGGGATTCTGTTGAGGTTGTTAGTGTCCAGAGGCACTGGTAGATCAAAAGCAGGTGACTCAAACAAAGAAACCAAGCAAGATGACAATGACATAACTCACATTATTGTGGTACTTGTACTTTCTTCATTGGGATTCTTCAATTTCTTTCTGGAATCTGTATTAGGATTAGATTATAGGGCTGGATTGTTTATATGTGCATTCATTCGTGGAAGTCCTTATCTTGTAGGCATATGTTTTGGAGTTTTTTTTTTCTTGAGACCAGTTTAAACATATGCTCTCGTTTATGTTTCGTTATCATGGATTGCAATTGCAATGAATGCTTTTCCCTCTGTAGGATGAAATTCATGAAAGGGATCACCACTCAGATCTTATGCTGGCAATTATAAGGTATATACTACACATTGATTTATCGTCATTAAGTTGTTTGCTTGTGTTAATAAACCTAGATGTGTATATAATTTTGGTTTGATTAGTAGAGTAACTTAAAATTTGGGGATTGCCAAGTATGAAGAGTAATCAATACTAGTTTGAGTGAAATGTTACTGTGGATTGATGTGGATAATAGTTTGAGCAGAATTGTTGCTGTGTATTATAGTTTATTGGTGATGCAAATGAAATGTCAGAATGCATGTTTATCAATCATGAATTTTCGAGTCTGATTTTGGTTTGTTTCTCGGAATTTTGTTTTTGTGTGATTAATGTGCAGAGACATGCTTTCTTCACACCCTCATCTACATCTGGTTAGTTCAAACATGTCTTCTATCTCTGTCATACTTAGGATATTAGTTCATTACCCTTTTTTCTGGAGCTTATATTAATTGATGATCTGCTTCTGTTTATGATACTTATTGTAACAGATACTGATGAGTGCAACTGTTGATGCTGAACGGTTTTCACATTATTTTGGTGGATGCCCAATTATCCGTGTCCCTGGGTTCACTTATCCTGTAAAAACTCTTCCTCAGATAGTGCCTTGTCAATTTGTCTAAAGAAAGATGGTGATTTGTCAGTTGTTTATATTATGCTGCTTTCATTTTAATGCCGTGGTATTATCCTTTATCAGGTCAAAACTTTCTATTTGGAGGATGTACTTTCTATCCTGAAATCCGTAGAAAATAATCACCTTAATACTGCAGTAGGTTTACAGAATGAAGATCCTGACTTAACACAGGAATTTAAGCTTGTTCTAGATGAAGCTATTAATCTGGCTTGGTCAAATGATGAGTTTGATCCCCTTCTAGAATTGGCGTCTTCTGAAAGAACTCGCAAAGTCTTTAATTACCAGCATTCTTTAACCGGACTTACGCCGTTAATGGTGTTTGCTGGAAAGGGTAGAACCACAGATGTTTGCATGCTGCTATCTTTTGGTGCGGACTGCCAATTACGGGCCAATGATGGAGCAACTGCGTTGGAGTTGGCTGAACGGGAAGAGCAGCGAGAAACTGCTGAGATATTGAAAGTGCATATTGAAAATGCTCTTTCTAACTCTATGAAAGAACAACTGTTAATTGATAGATATCTCCAATATTTTAATCCTGAAAATGTTGATTTTGTTCTTATTGAGCAATTACTAAGGAAAATTTGTAGTGATTCAAACGATGGAGCCATCCTTGTGTTCCTTCCAGGGTGGGATGATATAAAAAAAACCCAGGAGAGATTACTCATGAACCCGTATTTCAGAAATACTTCTAAGGTTTTGATAATATCTCTACATTCGATGGTTCCATCTAATGACCAAAAGATGGTCTTCAAACGCCCCCCTCCTGGTTGCCGAAAAATTGTTCTTTCAACTAATATGGCTGAAACTGCCATCACCATTGATGATGTCGTTTATGTTATTGATAGTGGCCGGATGAAAGAAAAAAATTATGATCCTTACAATAATGTATCAAGTCTTCAATCTTCCTGGGTGTCAAAAGCGAGTGCCAAGCAACGAAGGGGCCGTGCTGGTCGTTGTCAGCCTGGAATCTGTTATCATCTTTATTCTAAAGTTCGAGCAGCTTCATTGCCAGATTTTCAGGTGCCTGAGATTAGGAGAATGCCAATTGAAGGGCTTTGCCTGCAGGTATACCTTTCTCCTCATTTCTTAAATCTCTTTGAATCATGACAGAGATTGCATTGCTGTATATCTATCGCATTGTTTATCCATTCTCAGTTACTGGGGTCTTATGTTCATCTATCTGTTACTGTCTCAGTGGAAACTTTGTTTGAGACAAAGAATTTGCCCCAAGAAACAAATTATTGCATTGTTGCCCTGCTAATCTGTTAAAGTTTCCAATAGTCGTGACTCCCTTTCTCCTCCTCCTCCTCCTCCTCTCCCTTCCCCGAAAATAACCCACCTTCCACAGAAAAAATGTAACATTATTTGGGCATATACTATTTTCTGGGAACTAAAGAAACTAGCGAAATGACGCGTTGTTGTGTGATGATAAATAAGCAATGATAAAAGATAACATTGGCATGTTGACGTGTCACAGTTCGGTGGGACGTCTTGCAATTGTTTAGTTATGGCTACTGTCATTTTGTTTTGTTTTCATCCTGCATTCATCATGTTGTTGGAAATATGCACACGCATAAGTTGTCTATAGGGACGTGTATTCTTATTCCAAAATGAACTGCATATTCGAAGCAATAAGAGAAGAGGTGTTGTTTCCGTTAGTTGAGTTTTTGTGATCTAATGAGTGTTTTTGGATACTTTGTGATCTACTAGTGTGTTTTTGGAGTATAATGAGTTTTTGTGATCTATTAAAGCTTTTCAAGATTTTATTTCTGATTGACAGGTGAAGTTACTTGATCCAGATTGCAATATAGAAGATTTCTTGATTAAGACATTGGATCCTCCACGTTCCGAGACCATACACAATGCAGTTGCTGTTCTTCAAGATATTGGGGCTTTGTCACTTGATGAGAAACTTACAGTACTTGGGGAGAAGCTAGGTTCTCTACCTGTTCATCCATTGACGAGCAAGATGCTTTTCTTTTCTATACTGATGAACTGTCTTGACCCAGCTTTGACTCTGGCATGTGCTACTGACTTCAAGGATCCATTTTCCCTGCCTATGTTACCTGATGATAGGAAGAGAGCCGCTGCTGCTAAATATGAACTTGCTTCATTGTATGGTGGGCATAGTGATCAGCTAGCAGTCATAGCAGCATTTGACATATGGAAGACTGCTAAAAAACGACGTCAAGAGGAACTGTTCTGTTCTCAATACTTTGTGTCTTCAAGTACGATGCATATGCTATCTCGTATGCGCAAGCAGCTCCAGGCAGAGCTAAATCGGCATGGTTTTATTCCTGACGATGTATCAAGATGTAGCTTGAATGCACATAACCCAGGTATACTCCGTGCTGTTCTTGTGGCCGGTTTGTATCCAATGGTGGGGAGATTGGTTCCTGCTCGCAAGAAGATGAAACGATCTGTTGTAGAAACTCCTAATGGGGTTAAAGTTTGTTTAAACAATCACTCTATGAATTATAAGTTAGCTAAGGTCAACAGTGATGATCGTCCATTGATTATGTTTGATGAGATAACCCGTGGGGATGCGGGCGTGATGAACATACGGAACTGTACTGTTATCGGGCCACTTCCGTTATTATTTCTTTCGACAGAAATTTCTGTTGCTCCATCTAACAATGACGATGATGATGGTTACGTTGATGAGGGGAGTGATGTGGATGACAATGAGGATGAAAGTGATGAAGATGCAATGGAGATAGATGGCAAGTCAGGTGGACAACACAAGGATAAAATTATGTCATCTCCTGATAATTCAGTCACAGTTATAGTGGATCGGTGGCTTCAATTTGGGTCAAAAGCTCTGGACGTTGCTCAGATCTACTGCTTGAGAGAACGTTTATCTGCAGCAATCTTATTCAAAGTACTTTCTTTGTTCGTACTTTTACAGCTGTTTATGCATTGAAATTTGCAGTACAACGCAATAGTTCATTTATATCCTGAAACCCTGTAGATTACCATTTTATCTGAGTTTATGTTTTACCATTTTGCAGGTTACACATCCAAGGAAAGTTTTGCCTCCTGGTCTTGGGGCCTCAGTTTATGCTATAGCCTGTGCTCTATCGTATGATGGTCTATCTGGGATCTCAATTCCAAAGGAATCCGAGGAGTCTCCGACTTCGGTGGAAAATGAAACTGTGACTGAGGACTCTGTTGAGCCCCTTCAAGATTGCTACTTACACAAATCGATTATGTGCGATATATTAAGGGATGATGCACATGGGAGCAATGACATAAATGAAATGCACTGTTACTTCCTCAGATCATGTGCTCCTGCCGTCAATGCAGCAGCACACCATAGGCCACTAGGCACGGATATACTTGCTGCTAATGGAAAAGTAAGGTTTTATGTGATAGGAAATGGGGCAGCAAAGTTGCGTGACCCATCAAGTCACAGTGTTCAACCACCGCTTGATTCTGCTCCCATCACCGCTCACCAGAAGCCTCCATCACAAGGTCCAAATTTAGTTGGTAACGGTCCAAGCACTGATGCATCAGATGGTCCAAGGGGAGAGTCGCCACTGCAGAGGAAGAAGCGTAGGAATAGGGGTAGAGAACAATCATCTTTGAATGGGATCTAACTGTATGTTGTAGGCTGTAAGATTGGGGTAAATCTGGTCGTGTCAAGTTTTCTAGGATGAAGGAATATCTATGTCTTCAACACAATTATCTTTTCAATTTCCCAGACTGTAATCCTCCTATGAATGCCAGCGAAGTCGCATGAATGAAGAAGACACAAGAGGATTGCATCTGAAATTCATCCTAGCTTTTGATTTTGCTGTCACAAGACCAAGCAAAGCTGAAACCATCTTTGGTTTCAGAAACAATTCTGGTAAGCTCATATCAGTATCAGATCTGATGTGTTGATTCATTAGTAATCGCTTCCGTTGTTCTCTTAATATTTGATGACACTATTGTGACAAGATACAAGATGGAACTTTGCATAATCTTTCGGATGGAATTCACCAATGTACAAGGACTGAACACAAGCAGCGCTTTGGGTATCTGAAAGCGGTGTTTTGAAAATGACATGGTCAAATTTTGGTTATTCTTATCTTCATCTTTCAACTTTCCTATTAGATTAAGCCACTTGTCATTTATCAAAATCATCAAAACACAATCATATCCACTGCAACAAAACAACAAAATGAAACTGCAACTGCATTATTAACCTTATCACTATGCATGTGGAAAAGATAAGGGAAGCCCCAAAAAAATGATAATCTTAATTACTAAGCCTTGTCCCCTTAGGTAGGCCCCACCATATCAAAATAAAAACAACCCCCCAAGTACTCAAATTTACACTGATCAAAATCATCAAAACACAATCATATCCACTGCAACAAAACAACAAAATGAAACTGCAACTGCATTATTAACCTTATCACTAAGCATGTGAAAAAGATAAGGGAAGCCCCAAAAAAAGGATAACCTTAATTACTAAGCCTTGTCCCCTTAGGTAGGCCCCACCATATCAAAATAAAAACAACCCCCCAAGTACTCAAATTTACACTCCTTTTTCAGAGACTGAAAGAGATGGCAAGAGAAGAAGAAGAAGGTAAAGGTAGAGTTCCAATGTTGATAGCAATGAAGGGCCATCCAGGCACAGGCAAAACCACCTTAGCCAATTCCTTAGCCTCAACTCTCAAACTCCCTCTCCTAGACAAAGACGACGTGCGCGACAAACTCCACAGTCTCCAAGCCTCCTCCTCCTCCGCGTCTTCTGTACTAAACGACGCGTCGTACCGCGTCATCTGGCAGATCGCGGCCACCCAGCTACGCCTGGGCCTCAGCGTCATCGTGGACTCGCCCCTCTCCCGTAGGGCCCACTTCGAGTACCTGGCCCAGTTGGCGTCTTCCAGTGGGGCTCGCCTCTTGATTGTGGAGTGTAGGCCCAAGGACGAGGCGGAGTGGCGCCGAAGGCTTGAGCGCCGCGCTGAGGCTGGTGGAGGGCCGGGCTGGCACAAGCCGTCCACGTGGCGGGATATGGAGAGGCTATTGGACGGCTACAGTGGGTGCACGGAGTATGATGTGGGCGATGTACCCAAGATGGTGGTGGATACTACGGCAGCTCTTGAAGTCGAGGAGCTTGTCTCCAGTGTGGTCGAGTTTATCGAAATTCACAGCCACAGGGATCGGCAAATGACATCTGTCCACCAAGGACTAAATATTATGGATTAAAATAAAAAAAACAATTTGCATCTCCAAATATGTACAGTAATTTTCCTTTTGTCTAATGTTACCCGTTACCATGCTTAGAAAAAATAATATTCTAAACTCTTTTAGTTCAAGAAAAGAGAGATTCGAACTCTAGTACGAAAAAAATTTAGTTTAACTTAGAAAAAAGAAATAATCATGTTTAGATGTCTAAATGACTAGACGATTACCACAAATTTATTTTACTTATATCCATACCCGTTACCATGCTTAGAAAAAATAATATTCTAAACTCTTTTAGTTCACTAAAGAGAGATTCGAACTCTAGTACAAAAAAAAATTAATTTAACTTAGAAAAAAGAAATAATCATGTTTAGATGTCTAAATGACTAGACGATTACCACAAATTTATTTTACTTATATCCACAAATTTATTTGAAGGAAAGAGGGTAGGTGTACTTCATTGATGTTCTTGTTTAGAAAGATGCGTGTAAGATCCAAAAACCTATTGCCTAAATTCACAAAGTTCTGCCACCAACATCTTCTAACATTGAAGAAATAATTTGTTGAATTAAATTTTAGTAAGCTTGTTATTAATATTCAAAAATCAAAATAGTACATATTGAATTTTAACTAACAAAAAAGTCTTTTCCTTTCTCAGTTAACAGAGACATCATTTTGACTTTTCTTGGGTTAACATCATTTTGCGTTTTTTCCTAACATCATTTTGAAATGGACGAAAGTGGTAAAAAGTAGTAAGTTAGTAACATTTCTGTTGCGAATAATTCAGTAATTGATGTAACATTCCGAATAATATAAAATGATTTACGAATAAACATTTTCTGATTAGTTAGAAAAGACCTTTCCTTTAATTGATTTCAAACCAACGTCATATAATTTTGTTTTTCATAATAATAAAAACAAATAATATTCATGGTTGTTAATATAACAGAGCAGAGTAGCCGCCGAGCGAGAACCAAAGCTTGATAATAGGAATAGGTTTTCATGTGACGAGAAGTCAAGTCAACTGACCTGTACCCCAAGGGCCAATGGAGGGAGGCAATCCTTGTCCAACTGTCTTTCTTTCCCTACAACACAAATTTATTAAAATATTCTTAAATGTTTTTCATAAGATAAATTAATCTTAATCATCGTATAACTGGTGCTGACGTATATTTTTTGTTATTAACAATAACATGTTGAGTTTGCACTTTGTCTTGTTACTTGGACAGTCAACCAATTGTGCTCACCAGTAAGATTCACAAGACAAGCCACTTCATCTAACCTTTGAGAAGTGCGGCTTTTTCCTTCCCATATTCCTTTCAAGACCCTCAACTCAATCTTCTTCGAAGCTTCAAAGTCCTGTCTTGTTCAAAATCTTGTTGATTTTCAAGAGAATATCAAAGCCTAGAGTTTTTCCTGGTCCACTGTCAGGTCTTTGAGTTTCTCTTCTTGTTTAAGCTTCACCATCTGCAGCTGCTGCTTCATTTATACTCAAGCTACTTCAAAAGGGTATCTTTGTATGCAATCTTGATCCTTTTCTCTTTGAGCTTTTCTCAATCTTTTGAGGGTTTTAGTTCATATTTTGTTCACTATTGACTGCTCCGAGCTTTAGATTTGATGGGGCTGATGGTGGCTTATGAAGATTCAAGACGTATCTATACCAGGATATGAAGGATTTACTACCTCACTTTGGGTGCCTAGCTTTATATAGCAAAAATTCTGTCTTTTGTGTCTGGTTTTTGGGATTTTGCTCAATGTTTCAACAAGTGGGATTTGCCTGGAATTAAGTTTTGACTTTTGGGTTGTCTGATTATTTCACTATTTTGCTTGTTTTGACCAATTTACCGTGAATTTGGAGAAATTGGGTCAGCTTAGATATGCTTTATCCATAGAATGATGCAGTTTGTGCAGGAGAATTAGCCTGGTTTTCTTAATTGGGTGATTTCTGCTTCTTGATTCATTTATAGATTTCAAGTCATGGATAATGTGAATGAACTGTCTTCATCCTTGAGCTTTGCCTCCTCCTCTTATCTATCAAATGGGTCCAGTAGTAACCATGTATCTGCCTCAGCCAGTTCTCAACCTGTGCCAAGTATTGAAATTTATTTGAGTCTAAACAAACTCAGTGGCAGTCTTGAGAGACTTTTACTTGAACCTGAATATGACTATACTGACGCAGAGATTATTGTTGAGAGCAACACAGTAGGTGTTAACCGGTGCATATTGGCTGCACGTAGTCAGTTTTTTCAGGATCTTTTTAAGCCTGGAAATGATGATTCGATTAAGGAAGGTAAACCAAAGTATCTCATGTCTGACTTGGTTCCTCATGGCCGGGTTGGCTATGAAGCCTTCAAGGTTATCTTGAACTATTTGTACACCGGAAAGCTTCAGCCATCACCTCGAGAAGTATCCACATGTGTTGACGATCATTGTGCCCATGATGCATGTGGCCCTGCTATTAATTATGCTGTAGAGTTGATGTATGCTTCTGCCACTTTCCAGATGAAGGAGCTTGTTCAGCTTGTTCAGGTTGTTACGCTTTTATTTGTCTTAAAAGTTTTTCTTCTGCAAATGAATGTGTCGCTCAATAATTTGTGTTCTTAGCTTGTTAAGTTGAATAGCTTAATTAGAATAGTCTGATGATAATTCATGCAGCAATCAGTATTGCTTTATCTCTGGAAGTCGAGATGCATGTGATCTTTTGATAATGTGTTCTCTCTTTATCTACTTCACCTTTGCAATTTGTTGCACACTTTTGATACTTACAGTCTGAAAACTTGCAAATTCAATTTTCGGAATTCACCTTTTGCTCCTTCAAATTGATGAAATCACTAATATGATGATGAAATAGTGACATATATGTTTTAAGATTACCCTCTCCATGTTTTACAGAATTATACTCTGTCCAGAGTATGCCAGATTAATTTCAGATCAAAGTTGAAACCTTTGATGCAACTTTCTTTCTGACAAATGTCCAATTTCCTGCTCCGGCTTGACAGTGGCAGGCTGTTTTAGTAAGCAATAGCCTGTGTGGCCTATAATTTCTTAATCACTGCTTTTTTAATTGTTAGCAAAAGCTCTGAAGCATTGCAATTACTAAGTGTGTGCACCAACTGTTTTTACACTAATGCCTGTGGCCTACAATTTCTTTATCAAAACTCTATTTTTTGTTCTCAGAAGCTATGAAGCATAAGAATTACTATTTGATCTGGTTTTCCACAATTGTACCACTTTCCTTTAGTCTCAAAATTTCTAGTATGAAAGGGTGTTTTTTTCTCTCTTGCTTTGTTGAGTGTTATATCTTTTACAACTGGACCAATTGCAATTTTTCTTGCAAGGTTTATTTGGTTGCCTTATGTAGTTTTGGTAGGATGATGATATATAAATAATTTACAAAATGATCCTGGTTCTTTGCTAGTTTTTGCTTGTTCTCTTTGAGTTGTTTTTGAAGTCTTAGATTTGAACGCATTCGTAATCCTTCTGTTTTGGTATAACTTACAAAACCTCAGCAAGTTTTAGATTTCGACACATGCTAGTATAATATATATCCTAGCATAATTTACATTTCAATCACTTATTTTGTGGGGAATCCAGTAGCCTATCTGTTCATTGTTACCTGTTGATTGGTATATTTATCCCACTAAACAGCAAGTTTGTCTTGTTTATTTTATGTTTGTCAACACCAGCCAGCTTTTAGGTGTTTGTATGCTGACAATTTCCACCAATTTATGCAGCGCCGTCTTTCAAACTTTGTCGAGAAAGCTTTTATTGAAGACGTAATCCCAATTCTTGTAGTTGCCTTCCACTTCCAACTGAGTCAACTGCTCTCACACTGTATCCAGAGGGTAGCAAGGTCAGATCTTGACAGTGTGGCTATAGAGAAGGAGCTTCCTCCTGAAGTTGCAAATGATATCAAATCACTCCGCCTCAAATCACAGGAAAGGGATGAATCAAGTATGATGGAAATGGAACCAGTAGAGGATAAGAGAATCAGGAGAATCCACAAGGCATTAGACTCTGATGATGTTGAACTGGTTGAGCTTCTCCTGAAGGAATCTGATATTACGTTAGATGATGCTTACGCTCTCCACTACGCAGTTGCATACTGTGATCCCAAAGTTGTTAAGGAGGTTCTTGGTCTAGGCTTGGCTAGTATCAACCTTTGCAATGCCCGAGGACATACTGTACTTCATGTGGCAGCCAGACGTAAGCACCCAGCAGTTATGGTTCCTCTTCTGAACAAGGGAGCCTCTGCCTCAGAAATTACAGTAGATGGTCAAACTGCTGTTGCAATTTGCCGGAGGTTGACTAGACCAAAGGATTTTTATGAGAACACAAAGCAGGGACAGGAATCCAACAAAGACCGGATGTGCATCGATCTTCTAGAGAGAGAGATGCGAAGAAACTCGATGTCTGGGAACTCGTCAATCATATCAGAGGTGATAGCTGATGATTTGAATGTGAGGCTGGACTATCTTGAAAATAGAGGTGATGATTCTTAATTATATTAAATAATTCACTTAGATTACATTTATAAATTTATTGATAATGATTTGAGTTCAGGATAATGCAGATTAGTAATTTTTCTTGCTATTGAAGGATTTAAATTTTTTTCCAAGATATTTATAATCTGTTTGTATGTGGAAGTTTTATTAAGTACAAATTACAATGTCTTAAGTTCATGAAATTGTTTTTTTGTTTATGTTATTTCATGTCAGCACTTCGATCCTTTTAGTGTTTGGGTTGGTAGAACCCCAAGAAATTTAAGAAGATATGCTTAGGATGGCATTGCATGGATATGAAGGATAAATACATATCCGGGTCTTGAAGTCCCTGGTGCCCCTGCTTATAGAAATTCAACCTATTAGTTAATGTATAAAGTCAAAATTACCAGCACCTTAGCCTACCTCGTTCTTAATCAAGACATTTACTTTGAGCTTTGTATTCTTATCCTTCAAATGAGTGTACAGATTCCTTTATTTTGCAGTGGCATTTGCACGGTTGTTGTTTCCTGCTGAAGCCAAGCTTGCTATGGAAATGGCTGCTGATTCAACATCAATGCACAGTGGCCTTTCAGCATCAAGAGGGTCAAGTGGGAACTTACGAGAGGTTGATTTGAATGAAACACCCTCTGGACGGACCAAAAGACTCCAAGCAAGAATGCAAGCCCTTCGTAAAACAGGTATGGCCGTCTTATCTGTGACATGTATAAATCCTCTGTGACTTGCATATTTCCTTGACCCGTGTTAACGCGCAATTTTCCATGCGTATCCTCTTTGACCATACTCTTCTTAAATCCTTCATTGTGGAACCTGTAACTTGCCTGCCATGCTTACCACAACCTTTTAATCAACCCGAAAAAATTATCTAGTGATAGAACCAGGTTGAAACATGCAGCATATTACCATGGTTAACTGTACAGGAGAAAGTTACAGAATGCTTTCAACATGGGATGTCATGTAACTTCCCTAGTGAGGATGAAGTTAGTCCCAAAGACTCAAGAGTCTTTGTAAAACCCTATTATGTCTAAAGCTGGACTACCATATACAACTTGAACTAGTTTAGGAAAGAGCATAACTTTTATCCTCATTATTCTCTGAGCAATCAGTAAGTTATATCATATGGTGATGGCAGTGGAAATGGGCCGGCGCTTCTTCCCCCATTGCTCAGAAGTGCTTGATAAGTTTTTGGACGATGAGATGGATATGGCTGATTTCATCCTCGAAAAGGGCACTCCAGAAGAGCAAAGAAACAAGAAGACGCGGTTCTTGGAACTTAAAGATGATGTACAGAAGGCATTCTGCAAGGACATGGCTGAAAATAAGCGGTCAGTTTTGTCATCCTCATCATCATCCTCATCGTCTCCAAAGGAGGGGGTAACTCACAAGATTAGGAAACGGTGAGGCTAATTATATTTTGCAGGAAGCTGTGAGATTTTGATGAATTTGTAGTTGTATTTTCTCCTTCCATATATTCTTAGGAGCCTATTTTGTGGCATTCACTTTATCAAAGATTAAGGTAGTACATTGAGTCTGTAATATATAACTTAAGGTATTTGGCTTGTATATTTGATAAAAGAGCTTACAGTTTTAGAGAGAATGAAATCTGTACTCTTTGGATTTCCCTGTGTCTCCGTTGGTGTGATTATGTTAGCCTTTTCACCAAATAACAGAGACACTGTAATTCTAAATTTCTTTCTTTCATAATTATAGTTCGCTGGGTTCAATGTGGACTGTGGTGCAATCCATTCAAATGTCTACAATGATGTAGCAAATTTTGTTTACTGCCCAAATTGCCAACATAAGTATATGCTTCTTCATCAGATCCATCATATCAGTCTATTAAAACTCAAAGGTTTTTCCTTGTTCAACATTCTATGAATTTTGCGTGAGCAGTAACAAAACTATTTCTCCTTCCCTAGCTATGACTATGCTAAAATATGAATATGGTTTGAATACTCCATTGTCGAAACGGAGAACTTGGATTCAGGCCTGAAACTGTGTTTCCACTATTTTATGAAACTGTTGAAATTTTAAAGTGACTTCCCCTTTAGTTTTGAGAAAGGAAACCCAAGTCATATATGTGCAATCATCTATAAATGTGGCAAATTATCAAGCTCATGTCAGAGTGACAATTTTAGCAGGTCCCTAAACATCAGAATGAACAAAAGAAAACAGAATCAAATTTTTATTTAAACTTAAGTAAAAGGAACATGATGGCTCTTTTAGCCAGTTCACAAATGTCACACTTAAAACTTGAAATATCTAAACTAGTGAATAAGGATGGAAATAACTTTTGTAAATATCCAAATGAAGCATGTCCATGACGCCTATGCCATAACCATACTTCGTCAATTTGTTTCTCAATACTAGCTCCCCCAATCTTGAAAGCTTGACCGACTTTGGCTTCACTGTCAAATGCCAAGTCCAGGGAGTAAAGTTTCCCCCTCCTAGTACCACAACCAATCATCTTGTTGCTGAGAATGTCTTGAAAAACACAATGAGTTGGTCAAAAGGTTACAGTGCAAGCCAAAGCCTTAGTAATTTAGGCAATAGACAATAGATTATGGTGCAAGGGTGGAATAATCAACATAGAATCCAAATTGAGGGAGTCATAGAGAGAGAGAGAGAGAGAGAGAGAGAGAGAGTCCCCAATCAGGGGAGGGTGTACAATTAGCATTAGACACCACTGATTGAGGAGACGGTGTATGAGAGGTAATTTGTCTAAGATCAAATGTCATATGGTCAGTGGCTCTTAAGTCAATGATCCATGAGTGTTTCTTGGATGAAGTATTTAAAAAATGACATTTGGTACTTGTGGCTATAGAGGCAGATGCTGGAGTCGGTGTAGCCGAACCAGCAGGACTTATAGGGTTTGATTTTGAAGATATGTTGAGTGATTTGCTCCTATTCATGCAGGGAGCTTTGGAGTGGTCACACCAATTAGGGTACCCAATTGGTTCGTAACAGCCAGCACAGGTATGTTTGTCTCTGTCAAAGTAGGTGCACTTATTCTCTGGAAGAGATCCTGAGGCCTTATGCTGAGTGGAGCCTCCAGTAGAAGTTTGGGGCCCCCTTGGACATTGAGTGACCATGACAGAAGCTTCCTGAGCCCTAGTCATGGTTTGTCTATTTTGAGCTTTGAGACGAACATAGTCAAAGGTTTGATCAAGGTCTAATTTAGGATCGTTGCGTAGGATTTCCCCTCGGACTTGATCAAACTCAAGGTCAAGGCTGGCAAGAAACAAGTGAACACGAAGACGATCCAGTTCGGTTTGGCGCTCAGTCATGTTGGCTGTGCAGTGCATGCGGATGCGACTCCAATGGTAAATTTCTTGAAAAATGCTCTGTAGCTGGCTGTAGTATTTATGAACGGGTGCTCCATTTTGCTTGATAGTTAACGCCCATGTGTTGAGATCAAAAAGATAAGTTTCATCGCCACCATCATAATAGGTTTTCTTAACGGCATCCCAGATTTCTTTGGCAGTACTTAACTAGATGAAACGACTCATTAAGTCGAGGGACATGGAGTCGATTAACCACTCCCTGACCTGAAAGTTCTCGATACACCATTTGTTGTAGGTGGACGAGAGCTCATGAGGCTTTAGAGTCTCATGATCGGTTCATAATTGTATATCATTTTGTACCCTTCTAGCTTATGATTTGGTTATGTTTTTGAGTTAAACTTGTGCTTTTAATTCACAAGTTGAGGATGCAGCTGAATCCATTTTGGTGCAGCTGAATCTACTCACCGGTTAGGTAACCCAATTTTTCAAGGGCAACATTGCCCATCTCCATAACTTGATACCATAAGGCATAATTGGTTTTAGTGAGGGTGACGTCGGCAGGGAACGAGGAGTTGTCACTCTGAATAGTAACGATTTGAGGAGTGGAGGTGGAAAAGCCGTCAGTGTATAGAACCGAGATGTCATCCATTTGCAACGGAATGATGTGAGGATAAGATAAAGGTACGTGTTTAGGGAGTTTGATAAGAGGATTTGATTTGAGGAATTTGGATTTGAGGGTTTTGATTTAGGGTTTGTGTGAATATGATGATATGATTTGAGGGCTTATAGACAACTTAGGATCGATTGCTCTGATACCATGCTAAAATATGAATATGGTTTGAATACTTTATGTTAATAGTTCTCCATAAGAAGGTATATATAGGAGTTTACAAGAGTGCTTTACAAGGAAATAGATATAGTAATCAATTAGGATAATATCTCCTAATTATACAAGGATATGTCAACTATATAAAATAGGGAAGTAAATCACCTAATTAATCAAAGAAATAAATCTCCTCGATTAATTAGGATCAAGGTCTAAAATATTGATGATGTCGGAAATATTGGTAGTCCAAAAACACGAAAATTTCGATGGAAATATCGGGATATTAACGATATCGATAATAAAAACCACGGAAATTGTAAGAAAAACTTGGAAATTTTTATTGAGAATTTGGAGAATGTTTATTTAGTCAATTATCTATTAGTTTATCACAAAAAATTAGAAGGAAATGCATTGCATGATGGATTTAACTGATTTAAGTTGATTATACAGCAAGCTGACAAACACTGTGATCGTAAAAAATATGTAGTAATTAATGAAAAAAGATTAAACACACCATAATTATTTATATATAATGATTTACTACAATATTTTACACTTTATACATTGCAATGGTAAGATACATGAGTGATTTAGTACCACGTAGAGTTCCTATGATGTTCAAAGATTCATTCTCATGTGAAAATTTGATTCTTGCAAAAAGAATTCAAAACAAAACAATATAAATATAAATATTTTAGCATATTATCACGAAAACATAAGTGATATGGTGGTTAAGGTGTTGGAGTAAAATGGGAGGGGTTCAAATCCCCTTTGTGTTTTTTTTCTCCCTTTTTTTCCCTTTTTTTTTTTCTTTTTTTCCTTTACATCGATATTTTCGATATTGTAGCGATATTACACCGATATTTTGACAAAATATTGCTGAAGTGTGAGCGAAATTATCGACATCCATATTTTCCGATATTATCGTTGACATTGTCGATATTTATACAATATGTACATGGATATGTTCCGAAATATCCGTGATTCGAAAAAAACCGAAATATCCTCGATATTTTGTCGATATTATTGATATTTCATACTATGATTAGGATAGCTCACATCAACAAACTAGGCCATGAGAATAAGGAGAATGCTAAGCCTATTCGTCTACGCTCATGCGGGCAAATATGTGAAAGTAGCTTCTTATTGAACCATCTTACGCACATCTATAGTTAAGGCCAGTTTGGCATTGATGTGCTGTGAAAATAATCACTGTCAGATTTGTTGTGAGAGAAATCAGCTGTGAAATAAAACAGTTTGGCGTTTGGTAAATTTTTTGTTATAAGTGTTGTTGGTACTAATTCCCGCATAATCAAAAAATGATTCCCCTATAATCATTAAACCTTACGCCTCTTCGAAATTGATTTCTGTATAATCAGAAATTGAAAGCACCTCATTAGTTGCTTTCTCTTATAGCTTTCTCTCACAACAATTTTTAACAATAAGTGATTTTCTCATAGTTTACCAAACAGGCTAGGCTTCCTAAATTTTTTTTTAAATCTTATCACCCAAAATAAGCAATGCCAAACGGGCACTTAGAAATTGCTCCTTCATGCGTTAACCATTGACTTTAACAGAATAAATGTATGTCTAACAATTGATCTCACATTAATCAATAGCTGACAATTATTCATTAATGTAAACCAATGATGGAAGCAAACTTACAGCATTATATTGTGCACGTGGACAAATAATAAGGATGGATCCACGTGAGCAAAGTGTGGTAGACCATTTTAGAATAGACTCATCAACTGCAATGAAGGGCCCATCAATTTCCCCCAAATAATTTCTTCTTATATAAAAAAGAAAAACTTTTCTTTTTGTTTTTGCTTTTTGGTTGGATGAAAAGAAAAACTTTTCATTAAAGAAACGAAAAGAAAAACGTCGAATATTTATTGTTCATTGTTCTTTTCTTTGGGTTCTGGAAGTTTCACATGATAAGTTGCGTTGCCTTGCGCAACGATTCATCAGCTTGCTTGGGCCCGAAGCCTAATTGGGTCGTCTCGTCTTTTACTTGCCACTGGTTTCTCGCATTTTCTGTCACCCTTTCTTTCTGGCTCTGCTCCAAAGCCTCGAACAAACCAAAACGCCTAAAACCACCCTCCCTCTCTCCCCATCTCTCTCCGTTTTCACCTTCAACTTTCTGGCACACACACCTTTCTCTCCAAAACTCGTTGACCCTTTTCAATTCTCTCTCAGAAATTATCAAATTTCATCAACTTTTTATAGTAAAGGTGACGTTTTAGCTGATTGATGCTCGGAATTCGTCCTCCGTATCAATTTCAGAGCGTTAGAACTTTTGGGTTGCTGTGATTTTGGTGTTTCTGAATGGCAATCCAATCCTACGAATCCTACGACATGTTGCTCAAGCAATTCCTACTCCCGCACCCTTTTGTCCCATACATATCCATGCTTGTGGGTATGTTCGCCTGCAAATTGGTATGGCGTGGCTCTCTCTCTCTCTCTTTCTTACCCTTTTACTAATATTTGCCATTGAAGCATATGTTGTATAAAGATAGTATCTTTCTCTTCAATTTCTCTTCAATTTCTTTTTTTGTTTTTTTGTTTTTTGGTTTTTTCAGGTTTATGATCTCAACCACTTGCTAAGTGCTGCTTACTTTAAGAGCTATTCCAACCTTTCAAAGATGCAACGCATTGAGTGGAATAATCGGTGATTTTTCAGCCTCTTCTTAATTACTTGTTATTTCTTGTTCCGTTTTGTTCATTCACTCAAACCCATATGTTTTGTGTTCTGTTAACCTGTTTATACAGGGCAATCTCAACTGTCCATGCCCTTTTTATCACAGCTATGTCATTGTACTTGGTGTTTTGGTCAGATCTTTATTCTGACCAACAGTTCAAAGCTTTTGTTACGTTGCAGAGCTCCCCGCTGTCTACATTTGCCTTGGGGGTAATGATGTTTCCCATTCCCTTTGTTTCAGACTCATTTGAAATTCTTGTATCTGCTCTGTTTTGAGGTGATATTGAATTCTGGACATTTGCATGTTGAAGCTTGGATATGATACTAGGTTTCTATATTTCATGTTTAAGCCTGATTATGCTTTAAATATGGGATCTTCTTGCATGTGTAAATTTCCAAGTAATATTCAACTAAATAGATATGACTAGCAAATCAGTAAGTAAATGCATTCTCTTCTTCAAGTCATAGAATAAATTGAAGCCAATCATATGAGTAGTAATGTAGACATTAGAGAAGCCAATAATAGGAGTGATGCATAATGCTAACGGATGATACGATACCTTTTCTGGTGTCATTTTGGCAGGTCTCAGTTGGGTACTTTTTAACTGACCTTGGGATGATCTTTTGGTTTTACCCTGCTCTTGGTGGACTGGAGTATGTAAGTGCATTCTGTTTTGAATTGTTTGTTATTGGCTGAATTTTGTTATCCGTGTTGCACAAGCCTGGGTAGAAGTTGTAGTATATGAAGTGAATAACCTTGATATTCGTCAAATTAACTGTGATCATGTTAATCTTTTAGGTGGTTCATCATCTTCTTTCTTTAGCATCAGTAGCATATGCTATGATGACTGGGGAGGGACAGCTTTATACCTACATGGTTCTTATCTCTGAAACAACCACTCCTGGTATCAACTTGAGATGGTATTCATCTCCTACTAAAATGCCTTTCTAAAATCTATGAGTCTGTTCATTATTGTTGATGAATAGTGGTCTTGTGAAGGTATCTTGTCACGACTGGAATGAAGGGGTCTAGAACATATTTGATTAATGGGGTTGTAATTTTCATTGCTTGGTTGGTGAGTCAAATCTATTCCCAATTTTTGCACAAATTTAAATCTTTTCCTTTTCTCTAATTTTATTTTCTGCGTTAGTAGGAAGAGTCTTTTGACAAAATCTTTCTTCTACCACTGATATTATACATGCTTTTTATTATTCTGTGCAGGTTGCCAGAATACTCCTGTTCATGTATCTGTTCTACCATCTGTACTTGCACTATCAACAGGTAACTTCCACACCTGCAAGAACTTCATTTGATTAAATTCTGAGGTGCTGTAGAGCTGGTCTGCTGACCAGCCTGACCTATAATATCCATGCCTTAATTTTCAAATTGATTATTTTATTAGCTTGTGAGAAACAGCAAGAAACAAGTATATTAAGCCTACATGTGCTTGCTTAACAGGTTAAGCAAATGCACATCATTGGGAAATTTTTAGCTTTCGGAGTGCCACCAATCCTAGCGGTCATGAATGTGATGTGGTTTGGCAAGATTTTCAAGGGATTGAAGAAGACATTAGCAAAGAGTCAGTGAAAGATTCTATTGATGGGTGACATTGGCTTAAGAAGTGACTGAAGATCTACACCTATCTGTGGTTATCTGGATGTACGATATGTCCTCTCTTGTTCTTGTACACCCCCGCCCCCTCTTAGCATGTAAATGGTATACAGAATAGATCAGTATGCTGAGCACACGACATGGTTTCTGATGCAGTGCGAATCTAAAGATATAGTAGATGTTCAGGAACCCTTTCTTGTGATTTTAGAACAAGCTGAGCAATAGTGATATTAACTGGGTTCTTGATCCTGAGTCAAATCAATTTCTTTGTTGATCTTACTTCTGTGCTTGGGATGGAACTGAAATTATTCTTTTTATTTTTTTTATTTTTTTATCTCAGCGTTTTGAGCCGGGAAGCGTCAAGCACTTGTGTTCTTCCCACCGCCTTACCAGTTATGTACAGCGGAGCCTTCATGAAATGTGCTGGTAAAGAAGTGGCGGTGTTATTTCTGGAGCCATATATGTATATAGTTCCTGTTTCAGCTTAGAAAATATGTATAGTTTTATAAGTAGGGAAACACTTGCTCCCACTAAATATTGTATAACAATTGTGTATCCCTTTAAATAAATAAATAAAAACCAATAACAACAGAACAATGAAGTTTACTAAACATGATATACATTTGTCCTTGAAGCACTTACTCAAAGTCATTTTATCATAATGGACAAGATTGAGACCAAAATTGAACATCTATAATGTTCGTATTTGATTGATATTAATTAAGTTTTGTACAGTGGAGCAATTTTTAATAATGAAAACAAAATCCTACAGTGGAAGAAACAATGTTCAAATGGTTAAGTCCAAGTTTATATCATTGCTTCCAACCTCTTGGAAATCCTGAATGTTACTGAAATTTCCAGTTGAGCTGGACTGAGAAGTGTTGTGTTCATCAGCAGAAGGCCACAACTCGCTTTCTTTTCGGAACCGCGCCATGGTAGTAACAGTCGGATTAAATGATAACGAAAGCTCACAAAATCCATATAGTTGACAAGTTTCTTCATCCATAGACAATCTGCTGAGTTCTGGGGTATGAGCATTCTGTAAAGAAAATGTGAGTTATTAATTACTTGATCTGTAAGCAATACATGTATAACGGCGGAACTTAAACTTGTGAATGCAACAGGTGAATTTTGTAACATAACCTTGTACCCCCCCAAAAAGAAAAAGTTTAATTATTAGGACATATCAGTTGCAGACCACGACAGATCACCTTCTCAAAACTGGTTTGGTGCAAATGATACTTCTGTGCTTGAAGTACCTGATTTTGTTGCTTGCCTGCAGCTTCCTCTTGTGTTAATATACGTCTTTTTGTTTCCTCATCAGTTTCAGAAAACATTGCATGCGCCTCATATCTTAAATAATTTTCTGATGGCCTGCAGAGGTCGAGAGAGAGAGGAAAAACAAAACAGAAACGTTTTCATTGATTAACCTTGAAAAATTAAAGCTAGAGAATGCATGGTGCTTTGTTATGCTTCTAATTTTGATTTCTTTCTTGCGAAAAGAGAGATCATATAAAAGACCAAATAAATAAATAAAGAAGAGAGATCGTATACAACAACTCTTTTTTTTTTTTTCGTTTGATGAAATATATATAGCAACTCTTCACTTCATGGTGCAGCTGTCGTTGAGAAAAGTAACTAGTTAAGCATCAAATAGAGAAAATACTGGTATAAATGCAACTGGAGAAAGCTCTATAGATTCATGACCCTCTCTAATAAAATTGACATAATATAATTCATAATAAATTCGGGTGGAAATTAAATTTAAATTCATAATATATACCTTTGAGTTTGAGTTTGAGGTGAGAAAATGGAGAAGACATTACTGCTATGATCTTGAGAATGTGCATTATCATTCACGCCCCTGTACATCTAACATTCAATCCAGAAATCTACTTCAGTACTCAAACCACAGAAGGACCGACTGACTACGTATTAAAAACATCATGTTTTTGGTATGTCAAATTACTAGTCAAATCAGTTTGATCATGAGTATAACTTGGACTATTAGTCTTCAAAACCCTAAATAATGTATATATGTGTAAACTTAAAGGGCAGCCAGCTTTGTTATTAGGTTAATAATTAAGAGAGGATTAGGTTAGCAAGGTTATAGGCTGCGTTGTCCACCGTGCTTAATTAAGATTAGGTAAAATTGATGAGGATCAGGTTAGGGGCTAAGCCACCAGTTTAGGAAACAATTTACTATAACAAAAGTGGAACTATCCCAAAAGTCCCATAAAGCTGTTTTTGCGGCTTTTGTTTCATAAAGGACTGCTTTAATTAATTAGCACCAGCTGATGCATAATTAGAATGAATTAGCACCAGCTACTCTTTTAAAATTATGTACACATGTTACTTTTCAATAATGGCAACGGCCTTATAAGCCAATTTGATCTGATCATATCTCATCTCTCTTAGATCATATTGATGTCTATCTGTTTCGTGGGAACAAGACAAAGTTCTGAAGTATAAACAAAAAGAAAACCAGAAAGGAAATCAAAGGCTATGATTAAAGAATGAAAAATAAAAGATTAAGGGATGAAATTGAATATATATGCTAATAATGCACACCCTAACTTACACTAAATTAGGTCAAAACTCATAAGTACTCTATCTGATTCTGTTTCGTAATTTGGCATCGATCCTAACCATTTCTCTGTTGGGTTTTTTTGGATCTGTTTAGTTAACAAGGATGCTTAATTAGTGTTTTGTATGCCTTCGATTTTATATATGAAGAACATATATTGAAATATAATACCTGCAGATGGCTTTTGACATGAGAAATTTTCAGTCCCTTCACACTCATCGTCTGCAAAATGCGCTTGGGTGTTGCTTCTGCAAAAATCAACACATCTATTTCTTTACTACTATGATTTCAAGACACAGCTTCGTTTTGGTTTGTATATAAATAGTTATGGTGACCTAATTCTCATACATATATATATATATATATGCTAACTGCAGCAACCAATTATTAGACTTACTGTGTTTTCCACCAAGACTTTCAACAGCTTCAACAAAGAGTTCATGGAGTTGAGGTGTCCACCGCAGGCGTGGGAGATCAGATTTCTGGTACTGCCTCACTCCAATTTTCTGATAACTTTTCATTTCTTCGTTCATATGCGAAAGATAATTGAGGAGCTCTTCACAAGCAAGATGATGAATGATGGTATATATGTTTATATATGCATAGCTACCTTGAATGAGAGTATGAATGCAGCCGCAACCATATGATGTTGATCAGTCTAAGACCGTAGACTTTTGATGAGAATATGTACATACTTTTCATCTACCATCATGTATTGTCTTGGTCACATTTTTTTATTATTTTTATCAGATAGAATGTTTTTGTCTGATTAAAATATTCTACTAACTTGCAAATTTATATATATGTAAAACAAGGCTCCACTTTTAGAAACTGTTGGGGATGGTATAGTGCCTTGGACCTGTTCCTTGTAAAATTAAGCAAATTAAATTCACATATATATATATATATATATGAAAATGAATGTTTGAGTGAAATAGATGATCATGCCAAAATGGAATTGTTTACGAAACAAGTCAAAGATGGAAATTAAATGCCTTGGGAGAGCGCTGCAGATCTAGGGAACTCATTGAAACGGCTAGAAAGTCAAAACCAGTGATGTAATAGTACAATTATTTAGGTAGCTAGGTGTAAAGCTTCAAGCTTCACATGATATCATCAAAGTGCGAAATTAATTTTTATTTTCTCTAGTGAAATTTCAGCATTGTAAACATCAATTGAAGTAATTTTGCTGATAATGTTAAGAATAGTCGTTTACACGCGCGTGAATGATTACCGATCATCATTGTTATTTAGAAACAATATTTTGCACCTCAAGGACTAAACTTACGTGCCAAAGTTTCTAGGAGTTGTTAACTTCCTAAAGGAATATGAACAATTCTCTTTTTCTAAAATGAGTCATATTTGAGCACAATGATAAGGACACAAACTTTTCTCATATAATTGAAATACCTTACTCCTCCAAACCCATGTGCGAAAAACCTAGGACATGCATATGGTTGTTTAAAGTTCATGATTTTTGGACGACGAGCCACAAGATGGCAAAGCAAAGGCAAGTAAGTCAAGGTGTGAATTTAAAGCGAAGGCCATCTCTTCTTTCTCCAGTCAATAATTTATATACCTATCATGTCAATAAAAGACGGTGCCTACTTTTGGACCCATATGTACTGCATCTTCGTGCTGCCGTGTTCCACACTACAAACCCTAAGAATTCAATGTGAAAGAAATATACATGGAAGAATTAAACCCTAGAATACAATTTGTTGAAAGTTTGCATGCATGGTAGTTGATTGAAGCTAAAGTCATTCCACTGCGTTCACATATATCCATAGTAAATTGTGAGGCCATGATTCGAATCCCAATGAGGTCCTATCAGTTTATTATGGATTTTGAATTCATTTTTGGAAGCGACGAAGATAATCTTCAGTATTATTCTAAATGACGATGATGATGCAGACATAACTACTAGGTTTTATCTTGGCTATAAAGCTTTTCATATCCAGCTCTGCTTCTTTTTTGGTCAGCCAAATGGAATCTTCAAAAGTTATTGTCCTCTCCTGTCTACCTAGCTAGTTTCTATTTCACACTACAATTTGGTCCCCTTTTCAAATGATTTAATTGCCATTCTTCAACTTCTTCCTTGTAATTCTTCCCATTAACATCCACTGCAATGCAGAGAATTTTGCTTGACTTTTGGGTATGGTTGAACATAAAAAATACTTTGATGTATAGAAGATCTTTGGTAATATCATTGGGCCTTGCGCCTTGGGCCTATTAGGTTTTTGGGGCTTACTTTTTAAAAGTAGGAATCATTTTTCGTTTATTAGGCCATCTCCAATCATATTGGGGTTAAATTTAAATTTCTACCCTCTAAAATACAACTATTCATGTATTGCCCGGACTCAAAATGTTTTTTCCTTCAACCATGCAGACTCATAATTTGAGTCCTCAAATTTATTAAATTGGTTAAGAATGGTTAACCTTTATTTTCTTTTTTGCCGTTAATTTTTCTTGACATTATTTTTGTTTCAACATTCGTGATTTAATCTTCTGAACATTCTAATCTAAAAAAATCCAAAATCCAAAACATTTTATAATTTCACTTTAAAATGTGGTTTATCCTTGAATTTAAAAAATACTAATCATATTAAGATAAACGACAATTACAAATAAAGATAAACGAAAATTACAAATAAAGATAAACGACAATTACAAATAAAGATAAACTAATAACCATCATGTGAAGGGCTTGGATAATAGTCTCCAGAGTTGTCTTCTGGAATGTAGGCGGAACTTGTATTCATCTTGGTTTCCATAATTTCATCTTGCTTATTCCCCCAATATTTCTTCTTTCTTGCAGTAATTAGGGCTTATCCAGAATCACTCCCAAATGAGCCCTTAATTAATTCACATCTTTCATTAGTAAAAATGTTTTTAGATTGATTTGTCAAAGTCTTATCTTGAAGCAGCGTGTGATAGCAAGAATGATGAAGATTACAAAAGAAAACAATAAACTTTTAATCCTTGTTGATTAATCCTTGTTGATTATCTAGATAAGAATAACTAAGAACAAAAGAGTTCTATGCCTTGTTGATTCCCAAGGAATACCAAGTTGATAGAAAAATAGAGAGAATTCTCTAAGTTTAATATTCAACGTCAAAAACTCTCTTACAATTAGCTATGAGATAGCTTTTATACTTAGGGAAAACAAATCGAACCCTAAACCCTAGCTAAAATAGGAAAACAAACTTACTTCCTAAACCAAACTCCAAATTTTAATTGAAATAGGAAAACAAAAATATTTGCCTAAAATAGATTTCTAGAACATTAATTACACATCTTATGTCTGTCAAATTGAAACAGAAAATTATAAGCGATGTGTGCTGCATCACATATGCATATTTGTATGTATGCACATACATCTGTGTACATACATTCATATATGTACTAGCTGAAATATAAACACAAGAGAGACAATCCCCTATGCCAAAAAAAGAAAAAAATAATCACAAACTTTTATTTAATAAACAGATTTCTCATAGATTTTTTTTTTTATGGAACATGACTTTACAAGTGATAGCTCAAAAGTATTATATTGAACTTCGCTGAATGAAACTACACAAGGGCTGACTGGACAACACAAAAATTCCCAAGTATGTATAAAGCCCACAGCAACCCACTTTTTTTATATATTTTTTTTTATACAAGCAATAACGGGGAAGGGGAAAATCGAACTTAGGACCTCATATTCAAAGGGTAAATACTCTTAACCACTTGAGCTACAAACCACTTATAGCAACCTACTCTACTTTAAAATATCACACTTCTCTTAAGAATCTTATAGAATAGCATCAAACAAGGGTGAGCAAAGAGCAATGTCAGGTTAAGATCCATTGTTTTGATGAAATCATGGTAATGAAAGATTAACAAAATAAAAACTGATTTCAAAATTTACATATTTCAACTTGAGACCCAACTTTAACTTGGCTTCGTCTAATATGGTAGGCTAAGAGTTTAGAAATTGAGACCTCAAAATATTATCTAAGTATATATCTAATTCATCTTGACACCAACTGCTGAGTTAATTTAGAGGGTCCTATAACCGCTCTGCCATATGCCACAGGCAATGATACTAACTTCTTTGCTTTCCCTACATAAGCCCTTTTTGTAAAATTGTCATAACCATTTGCTTCAATAGCATCCAGAATCTGCCTGTACAGCAGCAAAGATGCCCACACTGGCCATCTACTAGCTGAGTTGAGTTCTGAAACACCTTTCTCAGCCTCATCAAAAAACATCCTAGCTCTCTTTATTTGGCCCTTCATGAACATTTTCCACTTTTCAGTCACCTTTCCGCGAAAGATGTCATCGTCTGATAGGCCGGCTTGGGCAAGCTCATCTTGTGGGAGATACACTCTTCCTCTCCTGGCACTACAATGATCAATCAATTCAAAGAGTAAGATTTACAAGCTCATAAAAGAATGACCAAAATATTTTCTATGTGACAAAATGATGACACATAAAGAAGAAGCTTACTCTTCTCCAACATCTCGGAGTATATTAGTGAGCTGATTAGCTATTCCAAGGGCCAATGCAGCATTGTAAACAGTCTCTGTTGAAGCCTTTGATTCTGGGCTTATCCCCATTACCGGAACACTCATTAGGCCTACAGTCCCAGCAACATAGTAGCAGTAGAGGTAAAGTTCATCAAAGTTCTGGTATCTTGATTTTCTCAAGTCTAATCTCATTCCTTCTACCATGTCTTTGAAGGGCTGTCCAAAGAGAAAATCGGTATGGTAAATCATTGAGTAATTCTAATAGATAAAAGAAAATTTTTAGCTCTGATTTTGGACTTGTGGCAGTTAGTACCTGTATATCAACAGGGTACTTGGAGACTGTATCAGATAGAGCAGCATCATACATATCATACGGACGACCTTCGAAAAGATCCGTTAATCTTTTCTCCCATCTGTCAAGAGCTTTGGGTGTGATGTATGAAGCATTTGGTCCATCCACCAGCTCATCTGTTCTTCTGCACCACACTGCAGAAAAAGAAAGCAATTCTTCATTTAAAAACTGTGCACAAAATTGTTTCCTCGTTTGCAAGCTTTAAAAAGAAGAAGTCAAGTATATTGATGTTAATGTGCAGAAAAAAGATGTTTTCTTCAAAAGGGCCATGGAGGTCTCAATTGCTCCCTCAGTTGTAAAGGAGCAAAGATACTTAAAGACCATGTATAAGTCAGATTTAAATTGACTATACAGCAATACTAAGCACAAATAGTGTAATGAATCACAAAAATTACAAGAGAAATTGAATGGGTTTCGAATAAGAATCATTATACGAACCATAAATCGCCCAAACAGCTCGTCGCCGCTCTGGTGTCATGAGTAATGTGCCTGAAAATCACAGAAAGAAACTGATAAGGACATTGCCTTGCCAATTAATAAGTATCAACATCAAGTTGTAAATTGCATAAATTTTCCTGCCTGCAATATAATATGGAATGTGAAGAAGCACATCCTATCTTTAAAGTTTTGATGTTTTAGAATCTAAATCTTCATTACACTACCATAATAGTTATTTCTATATAAGGGACTAATAACCATTAAGATCCTATCCAAAAGAAGGTAAAGAATAGTTTGTAT